CTGATAGGGCTCCTACGAGGACTCCTACGGGGACTGCGCCGTGGCGAACGGGAGCGTGACTTGCGTGGACTGCGTCGAGCAGACCGAGACCGACGCGTCACCGGAGACCGCGACCGACGACCCACTGGGGACCGGGATCGACGTACGATAGGAGACCGACGACCCACTGGAGACCGAGATCGACGCACCATTGGCGACCGGGATCGCCGTACTACTGGAGACCGGGATCGGCGTACCACTGGAGACCTGGTCAAAAAATAGATATACTAATTTCACTAACGGCTCTGGTTTTAAACGTTAAGAAAGTGTACATTCCAATCATCATACATTTTCTGCTGACTTCCAGAAAGGAGACGGTACTCAATTTGACGCGTATGTTTTTTTTTTATGTGTGTTACCTCATAACTTTTTACTGGGTAGCCCGATTTCGATGATTCTTTTTTTTATATGAAAGCTGATACTTCTCATGTGGTCCCATATGATATTTGATCAAGGTCAGACCAATAGTTTTTGAGTTATTTGAGTTATTCTTAATAACTTATATTGAAGTCGGCTGTACAAAATTTTTAATTTTTAATTATTTTAATATATTATATACTGTTGGGAATGAGGGTAAAAAAATAAAAGGAAATATGAACAAATGAAGGTAGAATGATATTCTCCCACTTGTTTTAGCAGTATAAAGTATTGCACAGGCGACTAAGAAGCATCAGTCTGTAATTCTGTCTCATTGTCCTTACTATGCCCGTTGGGGTATTCTACTAGTATAGATAAGAAAGATCGTATTGCTGAGAGGCTGCCATGTGTTACATTGAGATGGGTAGTGATGCTGTTGGTTTGCATTGTTTGGTGTTATCATGTAATTGGTCCTGATAGTAAGCAGGCTTTGTTACCAAATAAAATTATATCAACTGGTTCCCTATTCCATATCAATAGCCTAGTTTGTTAATAAAATGATTTTCCACCATCACGTCACCATGACCGGACTTTCACTGGCAGATAGCTGATGTTATAAGAAGTAACTTAGGTTACTTTGTTTTAGAAAAAGAATTAGGGTTACGCGCAAAAAATTAAAACCCATGAAATCCAATCATAATAAATTACGCGCGGACGAAGTCGCGGGGAACAGCTAGTTGCTACTAAAAATTTAAAGTAGCTTTCATTATTTTCTTTAGCCCTCGTGGATAGACAAAGCGTGCACTTTTGGATTTTCCAAACTATTTTTTTTTCTTTGAACCTATTCTTTTTATTTTTGATAAAGAATATTGCATCATTGTTCTTTATTCTATGGAAACTTACTAGAGGCATAGACAATCTCATTTTTAATTAGTTGTATCTATCTACATTAAAAAATATATTGAACTAGCTGTTCCCCGCGACATCATCCGCGTGGAATTTATTACGATAAAATTTTAATTTTAAAGTTTTTAATTTCTTTTGCGCGCAACCCTAATTCTTTTTCTAAAATAAAAGTAGCCTAAGTTACTCCTTCCAACATCAGCTATCTGTCAGTGAAAGACCCGTCAAAATCGGTCACGCCGTTTCGGCGATTGGCTGGAACAAACCGACAGACAGACAAACATTTGCAAAATTGTGCTTTTGACATTACAAACATACACTTCAAATTTGTAGTGTTTTACGAATACAAGGTTGTTAAGTTGTTGCCTGTATTAATCCTATTGGGTCTGGGTAAAATATATCAATATTTTCTCACAAAATCATATATTAATTTGTATATATTTTAGAGTATAGAATTCGTATCAATTTCGATATATTTGAAAATGATATATCTTTAATTTAACCCCTCAGACCCCAACATTTTGTCAGACCAATTGGTCAAGGCAGTGTATAGTAGGTAATTTTTTTTGTTAAATGATGGTAATTATAACTTAAGGAGTCATTACTATGTTCTTATCTATAATATAAAAATGAATCGCTGAATGTGTTGCTAAGCGCAAATCTCTAGAGCAGCTGAACCGATTTCGCTAATTCTTTTTTTATAACATTCCTTGAAGTTCGAAGATGGTTCTTACGGAGAGAAAATTTTAAAAAATTGCCTGAAATATCTAAAAACAACACTTTTCTATATTCCCATACAAAAGCTTCGTAATAATACTTAAAAGTCAATTTGAACTTTAATACCATACCATAAAGTTTAAGTGTTAGTGGAGGGGTTCCGGGATGGCAAAACAATTGAGTGACGTTAGTATCGCATAAATATCAATGTCAATATTTGTCAATATTTATACACACTGGCAGATAGCTGATGTTATAAGGAGTAACTTGGGCTGCTTTTATTTTAGCGTTCCGCGAAAAATAACTCCACGGAGGCGAAGTCGCGGGTAACAGCTAGTCCAAAAATAAAAAAAATATCAACAATTAAAATATCGAATTATTTATATGAAGATCAAGTGAGCGCCTAGAGTAACGACGATTGCAACACGTTGTCCATATATGAAATGTTTTGAGAAATTATCAATTACCGTGTAGTGGCGGTGTATGAATATTCATATCGTTCCGTTAGTTTCGTAAGAGGCGACTAGACTTGTTGAAAAGTTTTATTTTTTAATAACGGTGACATATCGATATTTATGACGCGATAATTATCGATGCTGTTGAAACACATCGATACGATAGATATCGATGTATTTTTTTCACTTGCTCATCCCTACCGGTCACATGCCTCCTCTCAGATGTTTAGACCAATTAAAAAGCAGCCATAATAACATCTATATTATATAGATATAGAGAGAGACTACGGACTTCCATTCGGCACGATCCTGACACACCTCTCTCGCCTCCATTATATCCATGCTCACCGATTAAGGGTAGTCTTAATCTGACCCATCTATAGAAATAAATAAAATTGAAGTGTCTGTTTGTAATGTCAAAATTAGAGTTTTTTACTAAATGCATATAAAAGCAAATACGGTACTTATAACTAAAATATAATTTTTAATATTTTTGTCTGTCTGCGTTTGTTCCGGCTAATCTCAGAAACGGCTGGACCGATTTTGACGGGACTTTCACTGGCAGGTAGCTGATTTCATAAGGAGTAACTTAGGCTACTTTTATTTTGATGTCTGAAACACAGGTACTCAACCTAGTTCAGGCAGGTAGCTAATTTTATAAACTTGACTTTTTTATTTTTCTTTTGTATATTCTACATTATTAAGCTACACATAGTTTTAATTTTATCAATTGTAATCATATTTATTCCTGTATGTAAACATGTGTAATTGGAAATGATATAAATATTTATTATTATTATTATTTTAAAAATAATTAGGGTTCCGCGCAAAAACATAAAAACCCTAACATGCGAGCGAAGTCGCGTGGAACAGCTAGTCTTTAATATATCAATTTGTATTCATAGTTCGTAAATTCTTCTATACGAAAGTGGATCATCATCATCATCATTACAGCCCTTCACAAGTTTACTGCTGCAAATAGCCTCCCCGCTCAAGGAATGTCACAAAGATTGGTCCTGAACCATCCGCATCCATCTACTTCCTGTATGTCTTACCAGGAAAGTGGATATTTTTCATCAACTAAAGGATTATTATTTACATATGTCTTCATACCTAGAACGTCTTCCGAGTACTGGTGACCTGGACCGACGCGGTGACACGGAACCCGAACCGTCTAAATACAACTGCTTGTAGCCGGTGTGGCGCCACCTATTGGTCGAAGACAGTCATTCAATTTTGCAATTAGATTTCGTTACAAAGCTATTTGTATGTTTAATATGACGAACTATCAGCAAAAAAAATTGTGCGTGTAATTATGTACGATACGATTACGTACGATATATCATTCTTCTTTTATTTTATAAAGGGTTTTTCAATTGGCGCGAGTAGATTGTGGCGGCCATTTTGTTTTGGTGACGTCTATCAAATCTTTTGTTTATTATTCAGTTACTTATGCCAAATCACCATGGCAACTTTCACGATTGAACAGCATGCTCAAATGATAAAACTTTATTTACAAAATGAGTGTTTAGGAGCTGACTCCATATGCGTCTCTACGGGTGACCATAATGAAAGATTGCATAACTTTATGACATATTTATTGTAGAGGAGCGTGTAATACAGTTGACGGGGAACTAGCTACTGTCTGACTGAATGAAAATCTTAGTACTAAGTAGAGAGGTACAATATTATTAAGTATACATATATATGGTAGCTAGGTACAACATTACTAATTATATTTGTGTGTGCGCAGCACACCTACATTACTTCCCCCTTTACAAAAAGAATACAAAATCTTAAAACTATATAAACACTTGTTAATGCGCTGAAGCGCAGGGCTGTACGGAGATCCCCGAGAAGGGAGCGGCTGCCGCGGCAGGCGCGGGCACGTGCTGCAGACTGGTGCTAGAGGCGCCTATCATCTGACCCATATTCTGGCCCGACATTGGAACGCTGGCCATGAACACTTGATGGCGAAGCCAGTTTTTGAACTTCTTATTAAACTTCATCCAAATAGTATACAATATTATTGCTCCCTTAAAACTGGCTATCACATACGAGATAACCATATATGAAAATTATCCACTTTATTCTCTACAGTATTCTGAGCCTGAGAAACAATAACTGGTTTTTCTTGATAATTACCCATAGTAAAAATCGTAAAACTTTTAGCACTAATGCTTCTGCAAAGGAAATATTTCAAATGAAACGAAATACATTATAACTAAACTAACTACCTAAACATAAATGAAACTGCAGTATACGCAAAATACAAAACACAATGCATCTAAAATTACATTCAATTTGTATTTGTAATGTAACTTGAATATTCTTTAAACATGTAATTATATTGCATATATAGTACATTTTATGTTAACACTAACTTATATTAAATCGTGAAGATAACTTAACAATGCGACCACTCCGCGTTGTTTTCACGCTTATCGGGTTGCTAGGGCCGGGCGACGACGATGTCACCGGCGTGGGCGGCGGTAACGCGAACCGTACATGCGCAGGCACCACATCCGCTGCGTTGTCAGCGTTACTGCTGCTTGGCGTTGTTATGTTACCATCGCATTCCTTTAACACATATGCAGGCTTTAATCTGTCAATAGAAATATGTACCTGCCTATCGGGTAATTGAATTAGGTAAACTTTTGAAGCCCTTTTTATCACGCGATATGGACCGTCGTAGGGTGGTCTCAAAGGTCACAAAGACATATTCACAGTTACGTAAGTCTTTGTGCACAAAAAAACATTGACAGTTACGTGAATTGTCGGATGTAGGCTTATAACTACGAATAGTATCTCTAATCTTATCTACTAAACAACAGTCGTTGACATTACAGTTGTTCGAAGAGTTGTCATAAAAGTCTCCTGGTAGACGTAAGTTTCGTCCGAAAGTTAACTTGGCGGCGCTAACCCCTGAGTCGCCGCGGCCGGCCGCGCGAAGCCCCAGTAATACCGAGGGTAGCTCTTCCACCCAAGATCCATGTGACAGGCGAGTCGAAAGTGCTGTCTTTAAAGAACGATGCCAACGTTCGACTGCGCCATTGCTTTGCGGGTGATAAGGAGTAGTTCGAATTCTATCAACCCCCAACATTTTTAACAGCTGGTTAAAAAGACTACTCTCAAACTGGCGACCTTGGTCGCTAGTTAACTTCATCGGACAACCGTAACGACAAATCCAACCCTCATATAAATGTTTGGCAACAGTTTCTGCCGTAATGTCGCGTAACGGAAATGCTTCGGCCCACCTAGTTCTCCTATCAATTATCGTGAGTAAGTATCTATAACCATCTGGTGAAATCTCGAGAGGGCCAACGATATCGATGTGCACATGCTCAAAACGATCTACTCCCGAAAACTTAGTCAATTTCGATACCGTATGTCTGTTAACTTTAGAACGTTGACATAGTATGCACGTTTTTGCCCATAAAGAAACATCACGATTCATACTCGGCCAGAAATACTTTTTAGCTAACAACTTTCGTGTAGACCGAATTCCAGGATGACTCAAATTATGCAAACTATCAAAAGCTAGGCGTCGAAACTTTTCCTGTAGGTACGGACGAGCTATATTGGTAGACATTTCACAAAAAATAGGCTTGTCTAACATAGGTATAACTAGTTCTTTCAACAAAATATTATCGGTATTTAAACCAGACATAAAATTCGTAATATAACTATCGCTACGCTGTTCATTTGCAATGTCATCGAAATTCAACGCAGTTGGCATAATCACGGCTTCGACGCGTGATAAGGTGTCGGCTACAATGTTATTCTTACCGGTTATATGTTTTATATTTGTACTGAACTCGCTTATGAAAGCTAAATGTCTCGTTCTCGAGGCGTTTCGCTTTCATCGCGTCCTACCTTTTGAAATGCAAAAGTTAAAGGTTTATGGTCCGTATACACGGTTATTTCTTGACCTTCAAATAATTTCCGAAAATGTTTTATAGCTAAGTATATAGCGAGCAACTCGCGATCGTAGGTGCTATATCGCTGTTGGGTGGTGGTCAATTTTTTTGAGAAATAACCCAATGGTTTCCAGATATCTCCTTCATTTTGTTGCAAGACTGCTCCCACGCATGTATTAGATGCGTCAGTCATCATAGCAAGTGCGGAATCCACTCTAGGGTACTTCAATGTAGCGGCCTGTGTGAGACCTGCCTTACACTGCGTAAATGCTTCGTTCGCACTATCATTCCAGACGATAAGAGTTTTATCATTTTTCTTTGAGCTTTTAAGATATTTATTTAATTCTGTTAGATATAAAGTAGCATTGGGGAGATGAGATCGATAAAAAATAACCATGCCGAGAAAACGTCTTAGCTCTGAAATAGTTTTCGGCTTCGGAAATTCCACAATTGCCTGAACCTTATCTTGCAACGGCCTGACACCTTCAGTACTAATTTCGTGTCCCAAAAATTCTAGTTTTATTTGTCCGAAACAACATTTTGCCAAATTAATTGAAATTCCATATTCATTAAACTTTTTAAAAATTATTTCTAAATGTTGCCTGTGTTGAACTTCGTTGTCACTAGCGATAAGTAAATCGTCTAAATAACAAAAGACAAAATCAAGCCCTTGTAAAATGGAATCCATAAAGCGCTGGAAGGTTTGCGCTGCACCCCTTAAACCGAAGGTCATTCGGGGAAACTCGAAAAGCCCAAATGGTGTTATGATAGCGGTTTTCTCCACGTCACCTAGCGCGACAGGTATAAAATGATAACTTCTATTAATATCTAATTTCGAAAACATATTTTTATCCGGGAGAATAAAAGTAAAGTCATTCAAGCGAGGAATCGGGTATCTGTCGGGCTTTGTTATCGCATTCAGCTGGCGATAGTCCCCACAAGGTCTTATATCTCCATTTTTCTTAGGAACTACATGGAGTGGACTAGCCCACGCGCTCTTCGAAGGACGACAGATGCCCAGTTCCTGCATGATGCGAAATTCTTCTTTAACTTTTTTATACCTGTCGGGTGGCAACGGGCGCGCTTTCGCGTGCACGGGGGGACCAGAGGTCTCGATATGGTGGACGACATCGTGTTTCGCAGTTTCTCGGAATGACGCCGGTTTAGTAATGTCCGGGTACTTTAACAATAAATCCTGATACGGATGATTCAAATCAATAGTTTTAACACTAGGTTGGGATACCTTGACAACAGATGCCGAAACTTTCAATTCTGTGGTTTTATCTATTAATTTACGCGCGTTTAAATCAACTAGTAACCTGTGATACGCTAAAAAATCTGCGCCCAAAATTGGTTTTTTGACATCTGCTACCACGAATTCCCAACGATAAGGTCGACGTAAGTTTAAATTTAACACTAGTGTCTTGGTACCATAAGTTACGATTTCACTACCGTTAGCTGCGTATAATTTATATTCACTGCACTGGTTTGCACGGTCTTTTCTCACAGCTGGTAAAACAGACACATTGGCACCTGTGTCGACTAAAAATCTAAGCCCAGAGTTAATATCTGACACACACAAACGATTAAATGGAATAATGGTACAGACCTCAAGATCCTCGGACTGTACCTTGCCGCTCAGTTTTCCGGCAGCTTATGTTTCCACGTGCACGGCTCCGTACACTTGTTGGCTTTTTCCTTGAATCGGTAGTGGTAGAAGCACAAGTAGTTCTCCTACTTGGGACGGCGGAAACCGCTACGGCGCCGGGACTGCGAACGATGACGGGTGCGATCAGGGGCACGAGACCGCGACCTCCGCTGATCGATCTCGTTCACGGTAGCCTTTATTTTAGCCACCTCAGCCCTTAACAGGGCCAAGTCAAGGGCAGCAGAAGATGCCGGCGCTGGCGCAACGTAGGTAGTGGCGGCGGCATAGGAAGGCCGCACAGCCTCCATGACGTTATCTGCGACTGCTGCTAGGTTGTCTTAGTCCTTGGAGTCAGACACGGTGAGCACGGCTCGCACCTGTGTCGGAAGACGATTCTGCCACAGCACGCGAAGAGTTTCATCAGGAACCTTATCAGTAGCGAGCTCGCGCATCCGACGGAGCAGCTGGGTTGGTTTCTGCTCGCCCAGCTCTAGCTCGCTCATAAGCTTCTCGATCTGCCTCGACATTGACTCCTCATAGATGTGGAGCAATCGAGCTTTAAGTGCGTCGTACTTGTGGGTAGGAGGTGGATTTAGTAATATGTCTGTCAGTTGCACGATGACCTCCTTACTTAGCTTGGACACGACCAGGTCAACCTTCGCCTCATCGCTCATCCTCTGCGGTGTGAGGATAGCTTCTGTGCGTACGAACCACACGCGCGGCTGATCCGTCCAAAAGTCCGAGAGCCGGGACTGTAGAGACACTGAATCTACACCTGGCGCCATAATGGGCGGTGGCGCGGGCGGCTGGATGTCCTGGACGAGTGGCACGTTAACAAGCGGCACGTTTTGTGGCGGTGGCGGAAGCGGCACACTCATGTTACTATTATGAATTGACCGTCCGATCACAACACACGCGAAAATTGCCCACTACTGTGTTAATATCACGTCGGGGTCACCAATTTAGGAGCTGACTCCATATGCGTCTCTACGGGTGACCATAATGAAAGATTGCATAACTTTATGACATATTTATTGTAGAGGAGCGTGTAATACAGTTGACGGGCAACTAGCTACTGTCTGACTGAATGAAAATCTTAGTACTAAGTAGAGAGGTACAATATTATTAAGTATACATATATATGGTAGCTAGGTACAACATTACTAATTACATGTGTGTGCGCAGCACACCTACAAGTGTCAGTTAGTGCAAACGCTGCGCGCATTGCGTCCATTTTATGGTAGACGTGGTGGCCTTACACAGTCGACACTTCAACGTTAGATAGCCAAATTTGAAACGACCGGTTCGGTAAACAATCAGCCAACACCCGCAGGTTCAAGGAACAAGATCGGTCGAAAAAATCGTCCCGGTTCGTGAAAGTGTACAGCAGAACCCGAGGCAGTCGATTCCTCGCCGCGCACAAGAACTCGGCCTTTCGCAGACTTCAACTTGGCGAATTTTGCGTCTGTACTTAGGCCTACACCAGTACATGATCCAACTGACCCAAGAGCTCATCTCAGCTCAGCTCATCAAGTTCATGACCATAGACAACACCATTTGTTCGCTAACTGGGGCTTCGAATCGTTTGAAAGCGGAAAGTCGAAAAATCATCTTTAACGACAACGTGCATTTTTGGACTAATGGCTGTGTTAACAAGCACAATTGCCGTATATGGGGCGACTCCAACCCACGGTTGGACGAGGTTCACCAGGTGATAATGCATCCTCAAAAAGTTACTGCTTGGTGTGGATTGTGGGCCGGCGTCGTTATATGTTCGTACTTTTCGAAAACGACGCTGGTGAGGCGGTCACCGTCAACAGCGAGCGCTACAGAACGATGATAACCAACTTCTTATGGCCCAAATTAAACCATATGGACCTAGACGATATGTGGTTCCAGGAGGACGGCACTAAGTGCCACACAGCGGACGCCACTATTGACATTCTCATTTGAGGGTAAACTTATCTCTTGAAGGGGTGATGTAAATTGGCGACCAAGGTCGTGCGACGTGCTAGACTTTTTCTTGTGGGGTTTCTTGAAGTCGCAGGTCTATGCAAACAAACTACAATCGACCAATACCCTAAAGGTGAACATATCATAGGCCATCGCTCAAATTCAGCCGGATCTATGCTGCAGAGTAGTTGAAAATTGGACCGCTCGGACCCGTGCCACTGTAAGAAGCCGAGGCGGGCATATTCCACACTTAATGGCACATGTGGGCCTTTCAAAAAAAATTTTTGTTGATACCTCACACAGATTGTTTTATTTCAACATCTATCCGTCCTTATTGAAAAACCCTTTATCTTACATATTATGTAGGTTAAATAATAATAAAACTTTACAAGAAAATGTGCCTATATTTAATACTGTATTAAATTTCTCCACTATGTCAAGAAAGGGGTTTCACTTCAAAAATACGAGATATAAATAGAAAGATTGACAGAAAATAGTCTTTGTTTGAAATGTTACCTCCACACTACTTTTCTCCTGTATCGTGGGAGTAGTTTACATACATAAATTTTACAAGGACCATGCAGACCCGGAACAATTTATTAGTAGGTCATACAAATACTTGTACCGTGTGAAATTCTTCAAGTTATTGCTAAGCTACTGTGCCACCAAGAGAATTTCCTCTTTTTTTGAACTTATGTTGCAAATAACTTTTGAATGGATCAGTAATTTATACGTGGTAGAGCCATGCTGCAGCTATATTAAACACGAATGTATCGGCTCGACCGGGGAAGGACCACGCGCTCACAGAATACCAGCGTAAAATAGCAGCTTAACGCTGCTATGTTTCGTACGGTTATTGTAGAGACCCGGAAACCCTTTTTACTGGAAACGAGGCATTCAGTCTTAGTCCTCACGGGTGACAACGCATCTGCATTTGATTCGTAATCGAGGATACATGTAGATGTCTATGGGCCACAGCAACCACTTACCATCAGGGGGACTGTGTGCTCGTTTGTCACCCCATGCTATATAAAAAAAAACTTCCATGTATTCTCACAACTCTATCGTTCACCTATAAAAAAAAAACATACTTCTAGGCAGAAAAGAAGTCCTAACATCCAGTAAGACAAATATCGACTCGGTATGGTAGATGATGAAGGAAAATACTGTTGAATCTTGTGTCTAAAATCTAGTAAGAATTGACGTGCGGTGAGAAGATGCGTTACCATAGGTAAAAAATTTCGATATATTGAAATATCCACATTTTCTTATAAAATTATCGATATTTAGTATCGAATTCGTATCAATTTCGATATACTTTAAAATGTTGTATTTATCGACAAAACATTAAGCAACAAAAGCAACTACAAAAGCATGCATATGCCGTTGTCTTTTTTTTTGTCGTCCAACTGTCAGTAATAAAATTTTGAACTTTAGCATGCAAAACTAAGTCGATATATCGATATTTCTGACGCGATATATACCGATACTGTATAAAATTATCGATAGGATTATTATATCGATATCTTTTTTCACTTGCCCATCCCTACTAACTGCCCGATTGTCTATATTTAGGACGAACACGACGTATACGTCAAATTAATCGCTTCGCTACGATGGACGGCTTTGTGACACAGTCGCATAGCTTTGAGTTGCAGCGGGTTCGAATCCCGCACGGAGCAAGTATTTGTATTTTGTATGGCCTACAAATAATAATTGTATTTAATTATATTACAGTCAATTAAATTTTTACGTGATAGAGCCACGCTGCAGCTATATTATGTTTGTAGCACAAATAGGTGGGCTACCTATTACACCACCTATTACAGAATAAGCTCTCACAGAATAGCAATAAAAAATAAAATTGAAGTAACAGCCTAATTCTGCTGTTTCATATGGTGAGTATAGAGAAACAGATATCTTTTTGAACATAGGTCTCCCCCAAGGAATGCCAGAGAGCATGGTCCTGAGCCACCTGCATCCATCGAGTTCCTGCATCTTTTACCAGATAGCTGCTACTACTACTACAAGTCGATACTTTACGTGCTTTTCTAGGAACGGGGGCGAAACTCCACCAACTTCCTGACTCTGGGCTGAGTATTTCTTGCCGAAAAACCGAATGACTGATTTTGGGCTAAACCGGGATTCGAACCCGAACACCACATGATCAACAGTCGCGCTTACTACTTGTGTACTAGACTAGACCAACAAATCAATACGGTAGGCTGTCTGAATGCTACATCTGGTTATCAATCTATCTAGTTGGAGATTGTAATAATGTCCTCCAGTCCGAATTTCGGTCACGGCGACCAGTCTCAAAGGAGACTAGCCATCTGCACAGGACAGAGTTATAGTGCACGAGTGTGCGCGCAAGCACAGGTGCACTCTCTATTGCCTCACTCTCATTATCCTATGACAGCAAACCGACGCGACTGAAGAGAGATCAGGCGCAGGAGCAACGACTTTACGTGCTTTCAGAGGCACAGGGGTGAGACACCGCTAACTTGTTGACTCCAGAGACTGCTACTGAAAATTTTTTGTCAGAAAAACCCAATAACTAAATTTGGCCGGCCTGGAATTAGAATCCGGGGACACATGAACAACAGTGGCGCTTATGACTACTAGATCAATAACTTAACGTGGTAGTCTTTCTGAATGCCACATCTTGTCATCAATCTATGTAGTTGGGGATTCAGATTACACTTTTCACTTACCGATTGGGGTCCTTCTCTTCAACTTCCAGCAGCTTCCTGTCCCAACTGCCCGGGGAGGCTTGACGTGCGCGCTTCATCACATTGTCAATCTCCTTGCGTCTACCAGCCGGGTTGGATGGATCTGGGAAAATATGTCAGTTGTAAAGGTTACCAAGGAAATTATATTAAATAGTAGGCTCCACTGATAATCAGGGTGGGCAGGCTGTGCAGATTACATGACAACTTTTGTCTTTGATACAATTTTTTTTCTTTTTATTATTTTGTGTTAATTATTTTTTATATAAATAATGTATCTTTTGCAAACATTTTGCTGTCACCCTCTAACCTTTTTTTTTAACAATACAGGTGACTAATGAGCACACAATTCACCTGGTGGCAAGTTGATGCTGGAGTTAATAGACTCCCCCACACTGATCCCTGATGAAGAATAAAAATGTAGATGCATTATGATTTGTTATGTTTACACTAACACTACATATTCAAAAGCTTTTACCGATTTTATAGCGTTTCATTAATTCACTTTACGAGGGGCACACTGAAATGATCGGGAATAAGAAAAACCACATGCACGGTATAGCTTAATTGTATTTTATTGTTTTTCGAAGTATTCTCCGTTCAACTTAAGGCGCAGGTTGAGCAAAATGTCGCGCTAGTCGTTATTTGTGCGGTTTTTAGGAGCTATCTACTTTTTATTTAAAAGATATATCAACAAATAAAAAACACATTATATTTCTACATAATCTTCATTCCATAAAAGCTATATCCAATTTTTTTAAAGGAATAAATATTAATATAATCTCCTTACAACGAAACCACATAAATGTGAAATTATTATTGATAACATGCATCTCCTCGTAAAGTAAGTATTATTTTATTTTACGATTTACACTAATGGATAGGCAATTTATTAATGAACATTTCTATAGTAAATTTTTTTTCAAAAGACCAAAATTTGATTTTATTAAGAAATTATTCTAAAATCTGGGCATATTCACTGCTCACGGGCTTGCTGAAGTCAGTGAGCGCTGAGCTCTTCGACGTGAAGCCCGTGTCGTAGAGCGTCGACCAGCGCATACGCTCACGTCATATCAGTCGATAATATTATTACTTATTAGGTTATTTATAGGTAGTATTATTTGTTTGTTTTGGGTATAATTTTTCGTATTAGTTATACATATATTTGTTGTGTTTTTTACTGCGCGATGAAGCTTTTTGCGTGTATTTTCTTTGAAGTAAATGCAAATAAAAAAAATGAAGCACCATTGGCATGTAAGGTTCGAATCCATAATTAAAATTTCGATAAATATTATAATTTACACTATAAAAGGCTAATTCAATATTATCACCCAACCACAATATCTTATTATCTACAGTACTACCTCGTTGGTCTAGTGGTTGTAGTAGTGCGACTGCTGATCATTAGGTCCCGGGATCGAATCCTGGGTCGGGCCCTGTCAGTTATGAGTTTTTCATTTATGTTCTAAGTTATAATTAGTATTACTAAGTTATAGTTTTTTTGCTAAAATATAGTATATTATTCATTGCTTGTTTTTTCTTCTTTTTCAAAAAATAATTGAGTACATAAGGTGTTCTATACTTATAATTCGGTAAAAAGTATCTAAGTAGGTACTAATATACCTACTTTTTACTACTAAAAATTTTTAAAACTAAATTTAACTAAAAAGACTAAACTGACCATTTATTTTTTAACTCAAAACAGGACATGGGTTTATTTATACTCTAAAAACTATAACTTTATACAATTAGTGTTCACTATAAAATTATATTCGGTATAGACTGTAATTATTAAATGCAACATATTTTTTTAAATTATTAATTACATTTGTCAGTGGATTAAATTTGCTTTAATAAAGTTGGTGATGATTTTAAATAAGAATAAAATTCTGCTCAAGTTTTTTTATTGTTATCTTTGTTAACAACATCGCCTTTAGAACTCTGGAACCGTAAGTGTTTCTTTCAGACGTCCACAATTTATTCAAAATAAAAAAATACTCTTTCTACCGGAGCATTCGTACCAGGTAGACATAAAATATATTCGATTAAAAAAAATTATGTTGAAGATTGTTGACTTTGAATACTTCCATCCAACGAGTTACGGGACAATTTTGTGTCCCGGAGCTTTGTTTGGGGACAATGGGACAGGTGACCGAGAAGAGGGACAGTCCCGTTCAAAACGGGGCGTATGGTCACTTTAGCTATAACCCGGCGACGGCTCCGTGGCGCAGTGGCTTAGCAATCAGTTGTTGCGCTGGGGGCCGCGGGTTCGAATCTCGCACGGAACAAGTATTTGTATGGCCTACAAATAATTGTTCCGGGTCTGGATGTTTGTCCTTGTGCAATTTATGTTTGTAAACTGCCTCCACGACACAGGAGAAAATCCTAGTGTGGGGGTAACGTTTTTTTACAATTGAAATTGAAAGATTGAACCCTTATACTTCTTGTTGATATGTGTATTACCTTTATTAAAGTTACCCTTATGTATAAATAAATATAATTACGTATGTAGAAATAAAATTGATTTTCATCCTCATCAATCATTGGGACGAGGATAATGTCTGCCAGCATAAGTAATAAGCAGGCTAAGTTGCTCAGTTCAAAAATTTGTAGGTAGGTATGTTACTTTTCAATACGTGACACGTAAAAATTAACAATAATCAAAAACACATCTACGAAACATCCTATTTATTTATTTATTCTTTATTGCACCAAATATTTGTACAAAAGGCGAGCTATCTATTTATTTACCTATAGTGAATAGGTATCTTTTAAACTCACAATTTTCAATGCTTCATTTTTAATATATAATTAATTATAAAATTTCATAATTAGATAATATATGAAAATACATAATTCTAATATAATGCAACTAATATACCGAATAAAAAAATTAAAATACATTTATCGTTGTACGCTGTGTGTATTTCCATAAATTAGTTTATTGATGTTGAAAAAATAATACTACGTTCTTACCAGTTCTTATAGGGCAATATATTGAAGCGAGCGGCGCGCCGCCGGCAAAATGCTCAAGGTCGTTCGCATGGAGTAGCCCCTTAATGCACTTCCATTCGTGCAAACCAATAATTAAAACAGTAATTCCAGTCTGAAGATGATGTTGACAAAATGGCTGATTTGTACGCTTCCACAGCTGCTTCGGGGTCTTCAAACGTTGACCGCGTAGTAAATCTTTCATTCTAGGGAATGTAAAGTAATCGTTTGGGCTCAGGTCAAGACTGTACGGAGGATGGCTCATCAGCTCAACGTTTTCCTGCTTCAAAAAATCATTTGTCTTCCGAGCCGTATTATCGTGATGTAAGATGATGCGACGTTCCGTGTTATTTTTTCGGAGTTCGGCTATCATTTCTGGCAAACAAACTGTGATATACCACTCAGCGGTAGCCGTTCTGCGTTCCTGTAAAGGAATTGTAGCAATATTCCTCTTTTTCGAGACAAACGTAGCGACCATTTTCTTTGACACGCTGCGGTCAAACCAACGTAAGTGGTTCGCCACTTACGTTGGTTTGACCTCGTTTTCGAAGACCCAAACTGCTGACTGATGTTTTCTTTCAGGTTCGTATGAATAAATCCATGATTCGTCACCTGAGAGGTTATTATAAACGGCACTTGACTTCCCTGCGTTGAAGCGTTGCAGGGTATTCCGGCACCAATCTACACGAGCTGCCTTTTGTTCTTCGGACAAATTGTGGGGAACCCAGCGGGAAACTAGCTTTCTTACACACAGCTCATTATCTAACATCGACTGAATTGCAGTCCGATACTGATAACAGCCCGAATCTGCTCGTATGTAACATGACGGTCATCTAATATAATAGTTCGCACAGCTGCGATGTTTTCAGGCGTGACCGCTGTTCTTAGTCGACCTGCAGAAAAAACAGTGCTAAGCGACACAGGACCGCGTCGGAACTCGGCATACCAGCGGTATATTGTCGTTTGATTCGGTGCTTAAACATCATAAATCGAAACAAGTTCGCTGCGACATTTATCTTGAGATAAGCCGCGACGAAAATTGTGATAAATTATGGCACGGAAATGTTCACGCGTGAGCTCCATTTCTGTTAACGACGTGTCAACTTTAAACCAACATAGTTTTTGTTTTTAAACCTTTTTTTTAATTGTTTGAATGTCATTAAGATTCTAAGAGGCCAGTATTCAAATTCTAAAAAAGGTTTTATTGTAACTCAATCCGAAATATTCTATTCCCGATCATTTCAGTGTGCCCCTCCGTATATTCCCGACGTTTCAAATTCTTCAGAGCACCCATAGTCATGGGGGGGGGGGGGGGTTATAATTCATATATTTAAGTATCTAAGGGGATATGGGCTCGCCGGAGATTTTACAGTATGCGAGTTCGAATCCTGTCGGCATCAATAAAATTGTTTATTGGCAAGAGGCGGAGGGGAATGAAAAAGGAGAAGAACACGGAGATAGACTGATATAACGAAAGGAGGGGGCCAAAGAAGGGGAGAGTGGGAGAGAGATGGGGAGAATGAGTAGGCGACGACAGTGATAACAGCTAGGCAAGTAAAGGACTAAATCTATATACAAATACTGTATAAATATAAATCAATATACCCAGAACAGCAACACGATGAACACATTAGTGTATTAGTTCTAAGTTCATCAACGTGTTTGAATGAGGTATGTAAATTCAACAGCGTTACCAAACAATGAATCAAAGATCAGTGGTTCTAGAGGCAACGACATTGCTGACGAACTAGACAGACGTGGATAGGTGTCACAGGGTCAGAACCAATTACACTCATACCTTTTGGATTAGTTCGTATACTGGTACATAAACAGTTCAATACCAATACGCTCAATATTAGATTAAACGAAGATTGCAGGCAGGCTATACAAGTACAGTCTGCAAATAAATGAATAATGTTAACAAGCGTTCGAAAAACTTGGCTTATAGAAGTAATAATCATCATCTCTATACAGGGTTATTTTGCAATAACCGGCCAAATTTGAAGAAAGAAAATTCAGAATAAGTAATATAGGCAAATGGTGAAGAAAAATTAATTAAAAAAAAAATCAA